AAGGCCCGGATGCCAGTGGAGAGGGGACAAAAGGCAGCCAGCTTCTAGAAGAGAGCTGACAGCTACAGGAAAAGATGGTGAGCATGATGTCCATTCGTGTGGCTTCAGCCTGCAGCCGCTGCAACCGTGCAGAGTGACCTCAGCCCCAATGGCCCCTGCCTGGCCTGAAGGGCCAGAAGACTGGGTTCGGGGCAGACACAGCTCCGCAAAGTGAACGGAGAATCCAAGAGCAGAAAAAGCGAGAAAGGAGGACACTCAGATCCTGTGGATACATCTGCCCAATTAGATTCACCAGACTGCAAAGTTCTGCTCATCAAGGACTCTGTCAAGAAAACAAAGAGGCAAGCCACGGACAGACAGAAAACACACATCTGGGGAAGGATCCGTATCCAGAATAAAGATCTTTACAATCCAAAAAATAAGACAAGCCACTTAAAAACCAGAAAAGTATTTGAAAAGACGTTTCACAAAGGATGACACGTAAACATCCAAAAAGCACGTGCACTAACGCTCAGTATCACTTGCCTTAGCTAGAAAGAGCAATATGGACACAACTGATGAAATTTGAATGAAGGTGTGTGGACTAGGGAAATTCTAGCAAATCCTATCAATGTGAGATTTCCTGATTTTGCTGATTACACGGTGGTTCCATAAGAGAATGTCCTTATTTTTATAAAATATACTCTGAAATATTTAGGCATATCTTACACTCAAATGATTCTGAAAAAACTAGTATCTGTCTACCCTAGCCCGCCTCACCTGTGGTTCCATTCTCCATGGTACGGTTACGGCAGTTGAGAGAAAAACCCTCTGAAGCTCTGAGCTACAACACCAGTTTAGATTTCTTTCTAAGTCAGCATGATGGTACGTACACTTTGTTCAAACCAAAATCTGACTTCTGGTCCACCACCCACACATCGTGCACCTGCTTTGTGAATGAATAATCTGAAGAACATCTTGTCCTTCAGATTCCCATCAATGCCCCTGCTCCCCACATTCCTTTACAATAAAACTCGTGATTCCTGCCTATATGCTAATCTGTAATCTCTTGGGCTTTCACAAGATACAAAAAAAAAAGTATATAACTCTGTAAAAACTGTTCATTCTCCAGAGCACATTCTTCTCTGTGAAGAGCTTGTTTCCCAGGCAGCTGTCCTAACTGGGCCTGAAGAAAACTCTTTCTTTTTTTAGAGATTCTAAAAGGTTTATTCATTTTGTGTTGACACAGTCAACCACCATCCAGAAGCAGATGATGTATCGTTGGAAGGTCAAAAGTATCCTAACCCTAGGTCAGAAAATCTATGTCACTCACCTCACTCCACTTCATCATGTGGGCATCTTATCTCCGGTCATCACAAGAAGGTTGGGCTCAGGGCAATAAGATACTGTGTGAGACAGAGACCACATTCATGCAACTTTCATCACGCTATATTGTTATAATTGTTCTATTTTATTATGAGTTACTGTTGCTAATCTCTTACAGTTCCTGATTTATAAATTAAACTTTATTACATGTATGTATGTATAGGAGAACAGAAAGTCTATACAGAGTTCCGTACTACCCATGGTTTCAGGCAACCGCCAGGAGTCTGGGAACATACTGCCCGCAGATAAGGATGATTATGGAACTGCATACATATGCTTACACACACATATACTGTTCTTTCTCTCTTTTTCATGCTCTCTTTCTAAAGCAAATGGAGCAAGATAGAAATGATTCTGGAGTCTGGATAAAGAATATACAAGTTCCTTTTACTATTCTTGCAACTTTTCTGTAAGATTGAGATTACATAAAAATAAATTACAAAACATCAAAACCACCGGAAAATGTAATGAAATTTTCAAGGACTGATGGGGTTGTGTCAAAAGGACCAGAAGTGGGTATGAGAGCTACCAGTGGCCAGAGCTGTCCATTTAAGCACTATAAAGACAAGGATCACAGTGAGTTGAAACACACCGAATCAATGAAAATCCGTGAGTCCACAAGGACTGCTCAAAAAAGAGAGATCCAGGACAGACCAACGTGCCAGCATTTGGAGCATCCATTAAACTAACATCCTGCTTTTAAAATTATTCAAGAGAAGGAAAGAAGCATTTATCCTGTCTTCCCAGGAGGACTATATTTCATGGGAACCAGAGAAATCCAAAACTTTCCTGCCTAATAAATGTAGAAGGGACAGTAGATTTAGAAAAACCATTGCTCAATCATAATTGTAACCATTACAATTATGGTTAAACAATGGTGGTCCCAAAGATTTCAGGTCCTAATCCCTGGAATCTGTCAATCTTGCCTATTCAGAAAAAGGGTCTTTGCAGGGGTGATTAAACCTCTCAAAGGCCCTTACAAGAGAGAGGCGGAAGGAGATGTGATGATACAGACAGAAGAGGTGTCAGGTAGTCAAGGAGCACCGGGGCCCCCAGGAGCTGCAAGGACACGTCCTCCCCTACAGCTTCTGGGCTAGCACAGCCCTGCATAGCCCTCAGGTTTGGACTTCCAGCCTCCAGACCTGTGACGGAACTGTTGATTGAAGTCGCTCAGTTTATGGTAACTTATGACAGCAGCCCCAGGAAACTAACACGACAATGAAAGTGATTCAGACAACGATCATTAGCCCGTGTTGAAACACGGAGGTAAGTGAGGCTGGAGATTGGAGGCTCTACAGTACCAAAGCAACAGCATACACACCACTTTTAGCAGCAGGGGACTAACGCAGTCCAGACACATTCCTCTTCTGACCTGATGACATAGGAAGAACACAACGCACAGGATGGTGAATTTAGTCAGCCATTCACAAATGGTGAATCCACCAAGACTTTGGCTGTAACTTCTAGGAATAAGAACTACAGGGGATAGCAGAACAAGCTAAGAGAGCTCAGACACATCCAGGAGCTGCGACATTCTGTGGGCAGTGGCTCGGTCTTGCAAACCAGTGATGTGGGAGGGACTGATCCCAATAAAGGGCATAAGACTCCCCAGCGCGAGGCCCTTCCACACCCTGACAGCGTGCCTCACACAGCGTGCTTCACCATAACCACCTAAGTCGCCTGTCCCTTCTCGCTCTGAGGCATTCAGACACCTGTCCCCTTGTGATGGGTAGTACTTAGAGCCAACGCAGGCACTTTGTGAACACACTAAGGGAGCGCCAATTAAGTTGAACTGGGGATGGATTTGGTAGTGTGGGTTTCTGGAAAATATGCATGTTCCTGATTTGTAGTAACTTCCACGTGTAATTCAGTTCTTGCTAGCTGCTCTGGAATAGCTTCCAGAAATACTCCTGCCACCCATTTTGGTGACTTGCCCAGCACTCCAACACATAGATATGGGATCAAAGGTCAGATCTCCACCTGCCCTTGTTTCATGGATCCAGCACCACATCTATGGGAGTGGAGGAATGAGGTTTGAGAAGCACAGCGCCAGGCTCTAGTCTGTGGATATTACTTCAATCACCAAACACATAAAGTTGGACTCTCTCCTTTCAGAAACGTGACGATACAGCATATACAATATTTGATGTGAATCACACACAGTAGGATTTTATCAGACTGCATGTTGGTAGCACACAATCCTGACGCAGTTTCGTGAACCCCAAGATGTGGGTTGTTCTATCTCCTCAATGGTCAGTAATTATAAACCACACTAAAGGAATATCTGTGATGACTTCCCTAATCTCCCTACAGGAAATCTTGCAAAATTATTGTCATAAGAAGAGGCTAGCAAAGAGTATGCTGGCAAAAATGTAGAAGTGTTAGAATATCAGTATTCTGATAGTTTTCTAGATGTGCTATTTGTGGATTCACCAGCTTTTTAGTTTGTAGTTTTTTTGAAATTTCTTACTCTAAAATAGTATCTGCCTTAATGCAATTTTATATTCATAATGTTCTGTGTGTTTTTGTAAAGAGGCCTGGATACCATGTTCATAATGCATTGTTCTTAAAAAAGCCCCATGTTTTGGGACCTGATGACCATAGATGCAGCATATGGTGCTGGGCACACCAACTACAGAGACCATTCTGGGGTGAACTGGAGACACCACCCTCCAAGCGACTCTGGGGATGGAGGAGGATGGATGGCATGAACCTGGGGAGATGGGAGATGGTGGGGGGAGAGATGGGGCTCCTCCAGAATCACATGTCTTCACAGTGGTGCTCGGTGAGCCAGGAGGGGCCCAGACAGCGTGAGTGTGGCCTAGGCGTTAGCCCCACTGCCCACCGGAGGACCTGAGGAGTGTGCATCACAGGTCAGAGCCATGTCTGTGGGAAGCCCTGCCCCTTAACCATCTGCAGGGACCCCCGAAATCCACACTGTGATGCTGAAGCCATGGAATGGGCAGAAGCACCCCCTCCAGTGGCAGCTGATGGTTTCTTGCCCGAGCCCAAACTTAATTTTTTTTAAGACTTGATTGATTGATTGATTGATTGATTGATTTGAGAGAGAGAGAGAGAGAGAGCTAGGGGGAGGAGCAGAGGGATAAGCAGACTCTGTACTGAGCATAGAGCCCGACTTGGGGCTCAATCCCATAACCCCCAGATCGTGACCTGAGCTGAAATCAAGATTCAGATGCTCAACCAAGATGCCCAGGCGCCCCGCCCTAAGTCTGTTTACTGTGCTGTTTTGTGCACCTTGCACACAGAATTATTTTCTAGGGTCTTCGTAGCTCTCTCAAGGGAGATTGGAGAGAGAAGCTTTAGTAAGTGTTACTCTACGAGCGTGGCCAGAAGGCCACCTCCATGAACCATCTTCTGCGGTGTTAGGGGTGCATGACCTCGTTCTTTATCCCAGGAGAAAACAGGGCTGAACAACCACAGCCAAATAAGCTGGAGACTTCCAGCTTAAAGAACTCGCAGAGGCTCATCCATAAACAAAGGATAAGGAAGACATTTATTCATACTATGCGCTATTTAACAACTAATAAGAAAGATTAATAATAGATTAGCATCAACGGGCCAAATAACAGAGTGTTTTGGGGATATGATCTCCTATTCTTCCCGCTCACGTCAGCTCACTCTAGTAGTTCTGACTGTTTACTTTCTTCTTCTTCAAAACTAACAATTCCTGGGGGGAGAAAAGAAACATGAGTATATTCCACACCCATTTTTTCTATTTTGAAATTCTGTGTGCTAACAGATCTTTTGCAATGAATAATATTATAAATATTAAGCATTTATCAGGCAAAAAATACAATGTTAAATTTTATCTTATACAGACTTTTGTAGTTTTTCTTTGGTACCAGTGTTAGGAGTGCATTGGACAGTTAGGGAATCAGGGCCAGGGTCCCCAACAAGAAAATACGGAGTCAGGACAGCTAAAATAAAATAGCACTGACATCTCATTTTGCAGCTTAGACAGGACCAGACTAACATTCTGCTTTGCAGCCTTTGCAGAAGTGACTTCTGCAAAATGTCCTAAAATAAGACAATTCACCACCAAAGCATTTGTCAATATCACGGGCAAGGGGCAGTTAAGACATAAGCCCCCAGATGGCAGCAAAAAAAGACAATCAGCACATGGACATTAACCTGATAGGTAGACAGATACCTGACCAGAGCCCTGATTGGCACGATTCAGCACACCCTGATTGCTTAAGATAGCAAAAGAACTCATAAAAACCCCTAAACTTAGACCCTCCAAGAGCAAATCTCTCGGGACCTCTCCCTCTCCAGGAGCTTTCCACTCTTGCTCAATAAACTTTGTTTGCTGCCCACCACTCTCTGACTGGTCCACCTCTTCATCTTTTGAAGTGGGGTGACCAAGAACCACAGACCTAAGGGGACAAAAAATCCTGTAACACCAGCAATAAACTAAGCAAAAGATAAATTAAAGTCAATGCTGAGAATATTCCCGTGAGAGTGAGCTCAGTAACTATCTTTGCCTGCACACACTGTCCACATATGACCAGCTTTACAAATGTGGAGGTGGCACTGCTCGGCCCTTGCATCAGTCAAAAGAAAGGCAAGGACTTGCTACATTCTGATAAGACGCTATCTTGAAAGTATCCTGAAAGTTAGAGTTATTTTTTATTGTGAAGTAAACTCTATAACCCTCACTGCTGGCGACGAAAAGAGATTAGTAGGCTGAACCTCGGACATAATGTAGGAATCGTGTTAAAGCTTGAGTTCTTGTTATTGTCTTGAAACGTCTGCCTACTAGGCCCATTGTTTACTTTAGCCCATTTTTCGTTTAAGGCATTCTGACATTTTGGCATCTACCCTGGAAGGTGCGTAGCACCATCCCTCCCTTCTCCCCCACTGCCCCCCTCTCAGAAATACTTCTGATGCTGCGCACTTGCTCCGTGCACCTTCCTGTACACAGCAGTCAGCGGTGGTCACACGGCGGGCACATGGCAGTCGAGTCACAGATTCTCCACACACTTCCCATCAGGCCCTTGGTGCCTCTAATGCCCCCTGGTTGGGCACGCAAGGTGTCCCCCCACCAAACGTGCTCAGGATCAGCCATAGCCTCCACGTAGGGAGCATCCATATACCATTTAAATGCTCTACAGATGCAGGCCTCCTCCATCCTCACAAACCTCAAGGCATTGGGGACAAACGCAGGATGCAGTGGGGTACAAGCAGGAGGTCCCCCCGGCTGCTGCTGGGAACCCCTGGCATCGGCCCCTGCACTCTCAGCCACAGGCCGCCGAGCCACCAGCACGGGCTTCCTCAGTGCCCCACGACGTAGTTCGACCCACTTGCCAACAAAAGCCTAACTCTACGTGCGCCTAACACTTTGAGATGGAAACCTGTTTTACAGTTCATTATTGCAGAGATTATCTTCAAAAAAATGGGGAGTACAAATCTTCAAAAAAGATATGTGTTCTTAATTTTCAATAGAGACAGACTAACCTGCACGGGGTCCCCAGCCCAGCAACCACCAGACCACTGGGTCCCTCACCACCAAGATACCCGCCTTAAACCAGACACAAGAAACTGGGCTCCAAGAAGAAAGCCCTCTCTGAACTCCCTGGGGATGCCCACAACACTTGGAAGATTTTTCAAAGATTCTAGGAACCTGAAGCCTCAAGCAGACTGAAGGTCGAATCCCTGGCCTGTGACCTGCAGATGCAGAAGCTTCTGGATTAATGGTACATTCAAACCCACTTAAAAAGGCTGATTCCCAGCACTGCTGGCTCCCAATCAGACTCCTGTGATTCGACTGTGGTAAAATCAGGTAAAAAAAAAAAAAAAATGAAGTCATGTTATAAATCTCTAGTGAGACTCTGCAGCCTGAGGCTGCTCTTTTGGTAAAAATGGAGATAATTAGCATGTGACAGAGAGCCAGAGCAGCAGGCCACCCGCCACCCGCCCCCCGCCCCCACAGTCAGGGGTTTGTCGGAGAGTGCCTGAGAGGGCAACATCCCACGGCCCCACGCGAGGCCTCAGCGGGCCCCTGAGATCTCGTCCCAGTCCCCGGGCAGCCCACGGACGCCAAGGTCAAAGACAGGAGAACCCGAGGGCCCGCCCCTGTGCGCCGCCTCCTCCCTGGGCCCGAGTGCGTGCTCACCCTGGTCGATGGCATCATATCGGAAATCCTCTCGGCCCTCCTCCCGGGTGCCATCTCCGTCGTCTTCCCCAGGCCTCATGGAGTCGGTCTCCCCCTCAGAAACATCTGCCAGAGGCTGGCCCTCCTCCGAGAGCTCCCCACCGCCTGACATGAAGCCACAGGAACCGCCCTCACGGAGGCTGCGGGCCTGGGTCTCAGAGGGCTGCTTCCTGGCCTGTCAGTGCCCACTCCCTCCTGCTGACTGTGTGCCCGCCACCCCCTTCGGGGACCCCCTCTCCTGCTTGAAGTCACCCAGTCCAGCCCAGATCTGGAGTGCCCATGCCCTGTCTCGGCGAGGGGTTCAGATGGGGCACGTCTACGTCCCACCGAGAAGCCACACTCTGTTCCCCAGGGTTCCAGAGCTGATGGGTGACAATTCGAGAGTCGATGAGCATTGCTTTCCAAAGGGAAGGGAATGCCCATAAGCAGAGACCAGAGAGGGGAGGCCTGACCCTGCCATGCCTGGGGCTGTCTCCACCCCAGACCTCTCTGGCTGGAGGAACCCCAATACATTAGGACTCCTGCCCGGTGTAGCCTTCTCCAACAGCCCCCGGCACCTCGGCTACTTCTCAGGAAGACCACTGGGGTGGGGACGGCCAGCTGCGGCTGTCACCGGGCTGCTCTCAGCCCTGGCCCAGGCTCAGGCCCACAGCAGTCGCTGACCAAGGGGGGTGGGCTCTTAGCAGTGGTGCTTCCCATGGGACCAACCAGTTGTCCATCTAGCCAGTCAGTCCCACTGCCCCCCCTCCTCCGCCCCCAGGAGGGTCCAACCCCCCACATTATCCTGCACACAGAACAGGCCCACAGAGAGGAAGCGCCCAGCGCCGGCGCCCCGGGGGAGCCCCGTACCCTCGGGTCCTGGAGCTTCTTCTGGGCCAGGCCCGTCCGTAGGTGGCTGCTCGTTGGGGAGGGTTGGGGACCACAGAGCCAGCTCTGTGATTTTGGTGGCCCTCCATTTGGGAACCACGGTCATCGTCGTCGTCTCCTCCCCCTCTTCCTCTTCTCCTCTTTCCTAATTTATCAGAAATGTGAGATTACCAGCATGTGTGTACACGGGGGGGACACTCGGCCACCATGATGGCAGGTTCAGTGGTCCGCCCAGCTGTCAGCTGTCCCCACTGGGATCTCGGCTCAAAGGTGGATCTTGGACGCGCCAGGACGAGGCGCAGACAGTCATCAGTCATCGCCACGTGGCACGTTCCCGCTCCTGCACCTGCCGCAAGCGGCTTCCAGACCTGACACTCCCAACCTTCTGGAGCAGTTCAGAAGTGACCGACACCAGCTGTGGCTTTCAGGTGCTCGGCCACATTGTCCAGGTCTCAGATTCTTTGTGTATAATTAGCTAGCCTCCCTGGCAGGAAAGGGCTGGAGTCATCCTAAGACCACCATACAGCATGGAAGGGCCTGAATACTAAAGCTGTAGAATCAAGGATTATGGGGGAAATGAAATCCCATGAAAGCAGAGGGAGAGTTGATCTCTTTAAACATGGAATCTTTTGTAAGAGTGTACAATTCCAGCAACTGAGCAGCCGGCACACGCCCATTGGGCCGAGCGTACCAGCCTATTCCCCAGTTTTGTAACTGTCACAAATTTCCCAAGATCTGAGTATCAATAAATGTGGGAAATGTCACTGTCACATAGAGGATGATACCTATAACAAAGAGTGACAGAGACCTACCTATTACTTCCACTGAGTCTCTCAGAACTAGATGGCTTGGTTGCCAAATGTCTGAGCTCCATCCCCCATGAAGGGTGATGCCAGTGCCCTAGAATCACCGGGGGGCTCGTGAAAACAGGGGTCGGAGCTTCTGCGTCAGGACGTCATGGGTGGGGCCCTATCACCTGCGTCTCTAGCAGATGCGCAGGTGATGCGATGCTGCAGGCCCCGGACCACACCTGGAGAGAAGCCGCGGAGCACCTGCCATCTCGCGTCCCCTGTGCACCATGACACCCGGTTTCTCTGCTTATCACAGCTCCAGTCGTCATTCCAGAAAGCTCAGGTGCGGCCTTAGAGTAAGGCCTTCAGGTTGTGTGTAACTCCCCAGGCTTATTCCTGAACAGGAGCGGTTCTGGGGGCTTATGGCAAGGGCCAGCTTCTCCCCCTGACCACAGCTGCACGGGGGCTTCCGCGGAAACGGTGACGTGATACTGCTTGGTTCCGGGAATTTGGGTCTGGACCGAGGCACGCGCACACAGGGAGATGACAGCACAAACGTTGCCAAGAGCTGGCATGACTTCCATGTGACTTGATGGGATCTGTGGGCTCAATACCCCCAGGCAGCTCTTTGGCCTACAGACAGAGGATGCTTTATGCACTCTGCCACTCACCGCATGTGTTAGACGGTACTCCCCATGCTGCTCACATCCGATATCAAACACGTACTTTCCAGGGCCGACAGGCTGCGGGCAGAGAGAGACCAAGAAGGGTTTCACTCTTCACCACCCAACGGAGCACGTTCACCACCCAACGGAGCATGCAAAATGCCGCGGAGATGTCACCTCCAGAAAACCTGCCCAACAGGCAGTGGGACAGCCAATGTGGATTAAAGACAGCTTTTATGAACTGATGGCCAATGGAATTACCAAGTATAGAGCCTGTTTGCTTCGTTATTTAAACTTTAGTTTTATCTTTACAAAAGTAATGTATTTATTACAAAAATTTCACTAAGTCCAGACCCACAGGCAAACGAGGTAGAGATAGAAGTGCTAATAATATTGTGACATGGTCTTGGGGCCCCTGGGTGGCTCAGTTGGTTAAGCATCTGACTCTTGATTTCGGCTCAGGTCATGAGATCGAGCCCCTCCACAGGCTCCGCACTAGGCGTGGAGTCTGCTGGAGATTCTTTCTCTCCCTTTGCCTCTGCCCCTCCCCCTGCTGCCCTCTAAATAAATAAATAAATAAATCTTTAAAAAATGTATATTGTGACATAGTCTTTATAGCCTTATTCCTTATTTCTAGTACATAGATTTTTCTAAATAAAATTTGACCGTAATTACACACACTGACTCATACTCTACTTCTACTTAGAAACATGGCATAAATGAATTCCCATGTTTACCAACAGTCTTCCACAATGCCAGTTCTCAATCTGGTATTTTCTTTCACTTAAGAATTAGAATCTATTTTACCCACCTACTGTTGTTAATATTTGGCATGCCGATGCTATCCTGACAAAGACCGCTGCAGGAGACACATTCGGAGTCATGTCTTATGTACATTCTTGATATTTTCCTCAGGGAAGTTTTCAGAAGTGGAATTTCTTGTATACATACACACACACACACACACACACACACAGTGTGTACATATATACTCACAAAATATATAGGCACACCTATTTTTTTTATATATTGACCAGAATAAGGCTCCAATAATTCTCTTTCCCACAACAGCACTTAAGAGCCCCTTGTCTTCAAACAAGGGGCTCTTATTTTTCCTGGGCATTAACATTTTGCTCTATCTTTACATTTTTTAAAGATATATAAAACAGGATCTCATCATGAAGTCACATCTTTAAGCTATTAGTAGGGTTGGATTTTTTTTCAACATTTTTGACCACTTAAATCACATTGATTGATGCAAATCCTTTATGTATTTATATTTAATGTTACAAATATCCTAACCCCATTGGTAATTTATCTCTTAAATTTTCTTTATGGCGCATTCTAATCAATAAGGGATTATTTTTAGGAAGCAAAATCTGTTGGGTTTTCCTTTATATTTCTGTTTGGAAAGTCCTCTTTCCTCATTTCAAAGTTAATGAACATTTACCTATTTTTTTCCTGTGGTTTTGTTTACATTTAAACCTTCACTCCCTCTAGTGCGTGTCTTCATCTCACGCTGGATTACAAACTGACTTTGTTTTTCTCCCAAATGGTTATCAAGCTGTCTGAGCACCACCCCTTGACTTCTCCCCATCATGTCCTCATTAGTTTAAATGATGCCCTTTTCAGGAGCTAAATTATCGTATGCACTTGAATCTGTCCCTAGACTTTCTAATCTGCTTACAGATTTCCCCATGGAGATCAATGAAGCAGATTAGAAGGTCTAGGGACAGATTCAAGTGCATACGGTAATGCACTTATTAAAGTATGTTTTAACAACTTGTCAGCAAGGATACGAACAGGTAATTCTCTGAGGAAGATAGTCAAACCAGTAGCAAAATTGTGTAAAGACGCTGGACTTCACTAGGAATCGGGAAAATGCACATTAAAACAACAAGACATTTTTTATCCATCAGATTTGCAAAAACATTAAAGACTGGTGACATCCAACATTGGAGACTATGTGACAGAGGCTCTCAGAGTCTATTCACCAGAGTATGAACTGGCAGAGCCCTTTAGAGCAGTTGTGGCAATATCAATCATGATTCAAAATGTCAATATTTGTAGACTCAGCAATGGCAGTATCTAACCTATGTAAATATTCCCAAATGCGCAAAAAGAGAGACATCTCTGTGCATATTTTCGTGGCCTGATGTAATGTGATCCTATTTACATAGTGACAGCCCCGTGCTGTCCGTAAGCGTTTGCGCACGTCCTGCACAGAAAGATGTGCGGAGGGTCCCACGCCAGGGGGAGAAGGGAGGGTTGGAACTCAGGTGGGCAGTGGAGCGCCGAGCATCTGGGGGCTTTACAAGTGGAACGGAAGCTGACCCTTGAACAACGCAGGTCTGAACTGCACCGGTCCACTTATATGCGGATTTTTTTCAGTAAATACAGAGCAGTGCTATAAATGTGCTTTCTCTCCCTTATGATTTTCTTAATAACATTTCCTTTCCTCTAGCTTACTGTATTATAAGAATATAGTATATAATACATATGCAAAGTATGTGGCTTGCTTGGTGGTTAAGAATACAGTGTATAACACCTGTAACATACAAAGTATGTGTTAGTCGACTGTTTATGTTGTCAGTAAGGCTCCCGGTCAACAGCATGCTCTTGGTAGTTAAGTTTTGGGGGAGTCAAATTCTATGTGGATCTTCGACTGTGCGGGGCAGAGGAGGGAGATCAGGGGTCAGTGCCCCTGACCCCTGCATTGTTCAAGGGTCAACTGTACTTGTGTGCTATTTGCATAGTTTTCACTAACTAGCAGAACAAAGCTCTTGTTCTCCAGGTTAGTCTAGGCTCAGCTGCATTCATTGATTCTTCCCAATTAACTTCTGTCAAATTCTCTTTCCCTCCACACAGCTCCCCAGGCCAAAAAATATCCCATGAGAATTACTTAGGCAACATATAGATTTGGGGAGGTTGTGCTGCTCTACAAGGACTTAAAAGTAGAATCTGTAATTAGGGAATGAATTTTATGTAAATGAAAACTGAGTTTTAAGAGAGTCTGAGGTGACTTCATTAAATTAGTTCAGTATTGCCTACATCAATTTTTTTTAAAGATTTATTTATCTGAGAGAGAGAGAGCAGGCGGAGGGGCAGAGGGAAAGGGAGAGTCCTCAAGCAGACTCCCCCACTGAGCACAGAGCCTGATGTGGGGCTCAGTCTCAGGACCTGAGATGAAACCAAGAATCAGATGCTTAATCAACTGTGCCACCCTGGTGCCCCCCTCTACGTCAACTTCTACTGCCTTTAATTTGCTCGGCAAACTCTTCAGGGAAAGTTTCTGGCCAATGCCGGCTCGAAGACACGAGGAACGCCAGCATGGTGGGGGCTGAATATGCAGAGCTTCTCTACATCCCAGCAAGGCTTAGCACAGCCATAGAGCCCTCCAAACAGAAATGACCAATTGTGGGCTCCTGGGTGGCTCAGTTGGTTGAGTGACCGCCTTCAGCTCAGGTCATGATCCTGGAGTCCCGGGATCAAGTCCCGCATCGGACCCCCTGCTCAGTGGGGAGTCTGCTTCTCCCTCTGACCCTCCCCCCTCTCATGTGCTCTCTCTCTCTCTCATTCTCGCTCTCTCAAATAAATAAATAAATAAAATCTTAAAAAAAAAAAAGAAATGACCAATTGTGAGCACTGCGGACTGGACACCTTCATACCCAAGTCCACGCCCAGGGTGGGTGGGCTAGCCTGCAGCAAGGAAGAAGCTCGTGGGTCTGCTTTCCCAGGGCTCCAGCCCCGTGCCTCCCAGGGCAAAGAAAGTCCAAACACCCACATGCTCAACCACAGGAAATGTTTCACGTCTGATCTACCCATGATGAGGAGCACATATGAGAGGCAGGATGCCCCCGTGTTATAACGATGGGATGGATCACTGCCCGGGGAGAGGGGGGATTTTGGCGAGATGCAAAGAAAAGAACCAAGTGCCCCTCCACTCTGCCCTCTGTCGGCGTCAGAGGCTTGCGGAGAGGCACGGCTGCCCACTTTCTGTATTTGGAGGGGGTGGGAGGGTTCCCTGAGTTTTTAGTATTCTTCGTCAACATATTTACATAGACTGGGGGAGGAGGGCACACATCGTTTCCCACCGACTTACGTTTTTGTTCAAGAACTTGCCCTGGTACCTGTGGTTCAGGTGAATGAGTTCAGCTGCACCGTCTTGCTGTCCATTCACCCAGGTACCTACGTACTTACTGCCCGTCTCTGCGTAGAAATAGGTGCCTTGCCCATGCCTGGTTAAGACAGAGAGAACAATGCGTTTTGTTCCGACACAGTGAAAAACCTTCCAGGTTTATAAGACACATTTAAATTGAGGGTGGCCTACACTTAACTTCTCTATCTGTGCCATCAGAGCTCGCTCCAGCTCCGTGTGCCCAGCACGGGAGGGGAATCACCTGCTGGACAGCGACGCCCATCTGGCGTATCAGCCACTTCCCGTGGAAAGAGGCAGCGCTCCTGGGAGCTGTGGCTCTGTCCCCAGGAGGGTACTTCCGTGGTCTCCTGGCCCCGGGGGCTCTTGAATGAAGGACCACATATTCTCCCCGCAAGTCTGCACCTGCCCAGTAATGTCGCATCTGGCGTGCCCACCTTAAAGCCACGAAGGGTTTGGACTGCCTGGCAGAGTTGGCTAATGGGCTTTTGTCATAATTCTGCCCCATACTAAGATGTCGTCATATTCTCATTACATAAGTGAGTTTACAGAACGGAAGAGAGAATGCAAACCTTTGGTGAGCAAACCACTCCCCCGTGTAGGTGTCATTATTGACGTAGTAGTAGATGCCGTAACCGTGCCTTTGGTCGTCCGCCCACTCCCCTGGAAGGGACGACACAAAGCAGGCCCAGTGAGAAGGGAAAGAGGACCTTCACCTGCTGTCTCCTCCCTCTGTGTCTCCCCTCTGTCCCCCTGCACCTCCAGCTGGATGGCATGGCGTGGGGGTCCGGTTAAGGGAAGCTGAGCCAGGGGCTCCCTGGATGCAGGTCTGGGCAGGGGCAAGCATGTGGGCTGCAATGAGCTGAGTGTGCCGACAGCAGGTATCACGGCTGGTCAGTGGCAGAGCAAGGATTTGAACCCAGGTTTTGTCTGCCCAGCTGTCCCTACAGCACACTCGTTCTGCTTGCATGTGTTTAGCGATCCAGCACCACCACCAAGGCTCGATGATCCCTCCTCAGCCCCTTGCCAGCAGCTCACTCTATTCCCATTCATCACCTGGCTCCCACACAGCTTTCCAGCCCGGGCGCCCGGGGTGCCCCACCTGCACACAAGCTCCATGCGTGCGGACGCCGCACCGTTCCCAGCCCCTGCCTCTACTTGGACCCTTCCCTCACTAATTGTCCCTGCCTCCTCACCTCTGTGCCAGTTCCTGCGAATCTCCTGCTGACTTGCTGAGAAATATTGGAATTGGCAAAGACACCATAAACTGCCTGACACCTCTACCATATGACAACAGTAAACTAGTTAGTGAATGCAGTCGATCCTTGAGGATGAATGCCTGCACCAGGAGACTTATGACGCCCTCCAGGCTTACAGCTCACACAGGAAAGAAACTTAATAGAGGTTTCCGAGGTTGACAACTCTCCTAAAAACACACATGGCATTGCTAATAACAAGTTGTTACCCTGAATGATGCTTTTTGAGACTATGAATAATTTTTTAAAAAATGATCAATTTTTGATCAAAGACAAAAGATAGAATTCTCTATTTTCTCTGTAGAAAGGGATATTACAAAATTGTTGTCGGACAGACATTCCATTATTAGCTAGAAAGGTAAGAAAAAGGAGTGCAGCAGGCATGTCAGACATGAATTTTTTTAAACATCCATTTGTCACTGCCTCGGATTTTGTACTGTTCGTGATATTTTAAAGTTGTTTTTATTTATTTTGATTTTTTATTACAAATAAACATTCACATTTATGCCAACGTTATATTCTTTTTCTTAAATAGAGCCCCTGAAACTTGCATAAGCTCCTGGCTTACAAGAAAACTGGACCTGCTTCCGCATGAAGAGAAAGCATATGCAGCATGCCAAGAACATGTGGACCATCCAAGAAGTATGTGTTTACATGAGAGAACCCCATGTTTGTTGACAACAACAAATCTACAGAAGGGCACGTCCACATGTTTTCTCTCTCAGTCCCACAGGTCCCTAGCACTCTGTGAGACAGACAAGCAGCGCTTCCAGGAACAGAGCTGCCCTGGGAGAGCGTGCCGTCACCCGGCGGGAGGCCAACCCGCAGCCGCAGCCCTAGCCGCAGAAAGAGCTGTGTGTTCAGGAAGCAGCTAGCACTCCAGAGAGAAGGAGCTGGGGCCGGTACCAGTGAAGGAAAATGCGTGATGTGTGCCAGGAGCAGCGTGAGCAGGGGAGATGGAGAACCCAAACTGAAGTAATTCAGCAAACACAGGGGCTCGAACCTAAAGCCGCCCTGAGGATAGAGAGAGTGTGCAGAAGTCCTGGAGGACTTGGGCTTTAAGGGGTCACTGTGTCCTGGTAAATTACCAGTTTAAAAGAAGGAGAAGGAGGGCAGATGTGTAGCACGGGCCGGTTTCTGCGGTGTAAATATTCCCACTGAGGCCACGGTTGAGCTGAATATGGGGCTGGGGACAAGCAGCCCAGAGCTGGCTTGTGTGAGCGCTCAGGAGCTGAGCAGGCAGGGCCCCGGGGGCCAAGACGTCCCTTGGTTTCTTCCCCAAAAAAAGACCATGACAAAACGGTTCCATCCTCTTCTCTTGGCCATGAGAGCTGGTCTCCAGGGCAGCATGGCATGAAAAATGTAGTAAGTATTTTGCAGAAGATTTTCAAGAAAAATAATTAAATTATAAGGGCACCTGGGTGGCTCAGTCATTTGAGCATCTGACTCTTGATTTTGGCTTGGGTCATGATCTCAGGGTTGTGGGATTGAGCCCCGTGTCCAATGGGCTCTGCGCTCAGTGGGGGTCTACTTGAGATTCTCTCTCCCTCTCCCTTTGTCTCGACCCCCATGTTCTTTCTCTCTCGAATAAATAAGTAAATGTAAAAAATAGGAAAGGAAGGGAGGAAGGAAGGAAGGGAGGAAGGAAGGAAGGAAGGAAGAAAGAAAGAAAGAAAGAAAGAAAGAAAGAAAGAAAGAAAGAAGAAAGAAAGAAAAAGAAAG